TCTTTTAGCGCTGTCCAGACTTTCAGTCTATTATTGAGCACACCAGTATAGATTTTGCTCAAGGCGCTTCACAACGATATGCCCCTGTAATTGTCGGGGTTATTTCTATCACCTTTTTTGTGTATTGGGACAACGATAGACTTTGTGAGCTTGTAGGAAATTTTCCCGAATCACATATTTTATTGAAAAGTGTAGCGAGAAAAGGCTTGAAATATGAGGAAGTGGTTTTGATCATTTCACTTTGTATTATATCTGTACCAGCTGCCTTACCATTATCTATATGTTTTATAGCATCACTAATTTCAGACGAAGTAATATGTGATTCTAGGATAAGTGAATCAACTTCATCTAAGTCTGGTTCTTCCGTAGAGCCAAAGTGGTCAATCATTGGTGCATCATAAGTTGCAAACAGGCTACTAAAGTGGTTAAACCTGCATCATTATTGATATTCGAGCGAGGTCGTTGCAAAGGAGATATACCTCTGAGGATACGCCAAAACGTCTTTGGGTTACTGGTTGCTTACTTTAATGCATCAGCTTTGTTGCGCTCATACGAGAGCTTTGTGCGCCTACAGATACCCTTATATGAATTCCTCTGTTTGCAATAATTACGTCGGTTTTCCTCAGATTTATTTCTTTGGAATCGACGCAAGGCTTTGCGAGTGAAGTATTGTTTACTTTTACAATATTTATAAAAAAACCCATTTGAAATACACTTTTTGTTACGTTTTTTCATACAGTCCGCTGCACCAAGTACTGTTTGTACAAACAAGTCTAGAGCGTGGTCAACATCTGTATCAACTAATCTTGTTGCTTCAACAAAGGTGTCAGCAACCTGTTTTATGCTGTCGGTGTACACGTCTGACTTAGTATGGTTCCATACAATTCTGTCACAGCAGTTTCTGTCAGTATTTTCATTATTTTCTAGCTGGTGGCTTTGCTCGTGAAGTTTGCCGTTTAAGTTTTGAAACGATTCAATCGTTTAACGGCATATGATCTGATTCTACTCGGGCCTCTACATGAAACGATTCAATCAGTTCAAATGCATCAATACTGGCAATGCAATAATCATTTACCGAAGAACCCTGGCTAGATATGAACGTAAACTCGCCAGTTTTATCTCCTTGCACACGACCATTTAAAATATACAACTTGTACGTTTAACACATTTCCATTAGCATTCTACCAAATCTATTGATTGAGTTATCACAAGATTGTCTGTTGTCAAGAGGCATTAACTCTTCGCCAGGGAACACATCTCCCAAAAAGTTCGGTTGTGGTTCAGGTGATTCATTACTTGTCCCAATCCTGGATTTCAGGGCCCAGTTTCACAAAGCTTCGTAAGCCTAAGATCTCGTTACGTTTCTCGTAGCAATCGTACCTCCTATGTTACAGTAATGGAGGTACGAATGCTACGAGAAAGGTTACGAGATCTTAGGCTTACGAGAGCTTTGTGAAACTGGGCCCAGATCACCGGTGATAACTATATGACAGTCAGAAAGCATATCTAGGTTTTCTGAGAACCACTGATCAAGTAGTTCTATACGTGTTGGTTTCCCACACGATGTGTAGCATGTCGACCCCTCGGGTGGTATGTAGAGACCTATCAAAATAACATCTTTTTTACTTTGCAATATCTTTTTAGAAATACGAAAGGCAATTAGATTATCGATATCCAACTTCAGTAAAGTGCAGAACTGGGATACACTGTTATGTATGAAAGCAAATACTCCTCCCGACAATCTCCCGTGCCTGTCCGTTTTCATTGCTTTCGCTATGTATTGTGTATAGTCAGACAATTCAGGGACAGCAATGATGCTACCACTAAACGTCTCATACAGAAACATTATTTGAAACCTAATCAAATAGGAAATGAAATCTGTATCCTCTAATTTAGAGGCTATACCGTTGATGTTCCAAGAGAGAACCTCTAACAAATGTGTAAGTGGGTACTCATCTGATATGCTATCAGCTGCTGGGGTAGGTTGCTGCGGGCCTTGGCCACACCCCTATTCATCAGGAGTCCCAGCAGGTGGAGCCTGTGCTTCATCCTCTCGACTGATGTCACGTGAGGGTGCAGACTCTTGTCGGGTAGCCCGTGACCTTGGCTTAACCCTAAAACAGCCCCCGACCCCCGAATTAACACACACACGCACACACACACACACACACCAAATAAAAAACCCAAAACAAACAAAAATAAAAAACAAACACTCTTCCTTCCCGGCTTCTCCTTCCCAAAAAATGAATACACGAAATAGAACCGAGTAAAGAAGAAACACCAACACAAGATATATATGAGTATTGATCTTCACTTATGTTCCGGCCATTAGTGGTTAAAACATTCACTCGTCACTCCGAAGACCCGGGTTCGATTCCTCACATGAGTACAATGTATATATTTCTGGTGTCCCCCACCCTGATATTGCAGGAATATTGCTAAAAGAAGCGTAAAACCATACTCACTAACTCACTCACTCATCACGTGTTCGCGAAAACATGTCATTTCACTACGTGACTAGCATTGGAAATCAGTCTGATCATTTGCGTGTTTTCATTTCCGAAACTCAAGGAACATTATTTAATTGTGACAAATATTGATACTGGGGATCGGTTCTGTGAAGGTTAATACATGTATGCTAACTGATGTCCCTAATGCTGTAAGTAAAGCTACGCGATACCACATCCAGTTTCCTATTTTCCCTTCAGATAACAATGGAAGCAATGGTGATCGCGTGTGAGCACTGTTTGCATTACTCTCATCTAGTCCGACTGATAAAATATTAACCTACATGGCGTTTTACCTTGTTGACGAAATGATTTAACGGAACGGCATTGTTGATTGTTGGACTATTGATCGCGTTGATGAAGTGAGTTTAGTTTCACTCCGCTTTTAGCAATATTCGAGCATTATTGCAGCATGAAACGCCAGAAATAGGTCGTTGATGGACACCCGGGTTAGAATTGGTCTTCAGCCAACCATGCTTGTCGTTAGAGGATCGGCTGGTCAAGTTCGCTTGACATGGTTGACACATGTCACCGTATCCCAATTGCGTAGATCGATGCTCGTTCTGTTGATCACTGGATTGTCTGGCGCAGACTCGATTATTTACAGACCCTGTCATACAACTGGAATATTGACGAGTATACAATCAATCGAAAATGCAATGTCATCAATTGATTTTTATGGAGGAGCATGTACAATGTGAATGTCCCCCCTCCCCCCCCACACACATACACACACTAAACTTTATGGTCAAAGTTAGTTGCAACCCACCCAACCCCGACCCCCTCCTGCATGAATTAAGCAATTTGTCATTCTCGATGATGGCCATTTCTAGTGTACTGAAGCCGATTCCAGTGGGCGATAAGGTAATTGAATGGGTCATTAAAATAATTTGATTGAATGGATAATTGTAAATGATTTGTTTTTGTAAAATCATAAGAATGCGTTGCTCTGTTTGCGGTACAGACCACTGGCATCTTTAACATAAAACAATGATAGGAGGCGTCCATGACATGGAGGGACAGCGTTGTCATCTGCAGAGGTAAATGTTAGAGAAGGTTAAAACATCCCGCATTAACTCGGGTCTGCTTAACTGGCAGTAATTGAATACCGACATAGCACAAACACAAAACTTTGAAAATAATTTTGATGGTGGAACGATTTGATTATGATATTTAAAAGACGAGACGCAGTGCTTGACAACATAGATTTTGAATCATGAAGAACAAAAGCCTCGCACGAAGTACTTGTCAGAACTAACAAGATACACGTTTGGGAATGCCATCAATGACACGATCCAGCAATCATGCAAACCAGAACCATAGAATCAACAGTGAAATAAAAGAGTATTGATTACACGTTGACAATAATGACATGTGGTGATTCAACGTGGAGCTATAATGAGTGGATTGATGACAATGAGTTAAAATATTAAAGCAGACAGTGGAGATCCTATTTTGCACATTCGCGACCATTATTGGGAGAAACATTAACATGAACGGGTTGGATTTGATTTTCCAGAGGATGCTTCACTTCCACACTGTACAGGAATGACTTTGGTCGTACACTGTTATTGGTAACTCATACCCGAGGAAATGGCTGATGACATTTGAGAGAGAAGCAGTTTGCACTGGAATATATATTTGTTTGTGCAGATTAATGAATCAAGCAGAACAGCGTATGAAATCGGAAACGGAGGAAGAGGGCTAATTGCCATTTTGGAATTACAGTGGGAAACGACTACTGTAGAGACATATAAGGAATGTAGTTGAAGCAATTATGTTTTTACCAACTCAAACTGTCTGAAGTGAAAGGACATCAGCTGTCTTCTTCAACGTTATACACAGCCATCAAATACCAAACAGTTATATCCTCTAATCGAGAGATTTGAATCCTGGAACACACTACAAACGTCAAGTGGTTTGTATTGGAACTGATCGTGAAGACGTCATTGTGATATATTTCTGGCCTGGATGTCAGATAAGACAACTCCAGTCTTTACACACGTAAAGTGGTTCATATTAGAACTATTTATGATATCACTGTTTCATATAATGATACATTTCTGAAGAAGACGTGTAATTATTATTTTCAAATAACTGTCAGACAAAATGCTTCCAAAGGTACATCCTTCAACAGATGGGATACCAACTGAGCGTGAAGACGAGCAGCCCGTCGTTTCAGATGCATTCTTTAAACATTTGCGTGTCACTTCTTGCCTTGGAGGAATCTATCGTCGTGCAAACCCTGGAGAGAAAATGATATGGTGGGACAGAATTAAACTTGTGTATGTCGTATTTGTTGAAATATTATTTGTGACCTGCATTGTCTTCTTTCTAATTGCTACTTACAATTATGCAGTTGGCTCTAGACCAATTATACGTCTTCTGTCGTTCTGTGCCATCATGGCCATTAATTTGTACTTGTCATTGATCTACAGTATCTTTCTCTCAAAACGTTCCATCTGCTGCATGTACGTTTTCGCAAGTATGAAGAATTGTACGGATTCAGCGATGAATTCAAGAAGTGGGTGAAGAGGTTGAGGCCAATCCTTGTTTGCAGCCATTTATTCACGGCATTATTTGGTCCACTAGAATACTTTATGACGAAGAGCTACCCTGAAGTTATGTATGATATCTTCCCTACAATTGTCTTCACGGAACCTTGGAAATCAGCTGGTGTAGGTATCACATGCATTGGATACACATTAGTTGAGTTTCAGTGGATAACTAACTACACTGTTATACCATTTCTTTCTCTGTTTGTGTGGCAGGAATTCAAACGTGTAGAAACACAATTCAAGGAACTTTCAAACAGTCAATGTGATAACACTGAATCCAGGTTCAACACTTTGGTCATTCATTTTGACCACATCACTGAAATACTTGAGGATATCAGCAACTATGTGCAACATTCTATTTTCACTTATGTATTCATGACTTTGCCTGTGACATGTGCTGTCTTGTATTCCATTCTATCAGAGCACGTCAGTTCTGAAGAAGTGATGGTTTACAGTGTATGGTGTGTGTGGGCACTTTTATGTGTTGGCTGTAGACTGCTCATTGATGCGCTTGTCAGTTCGAAGGTAAGGGTTTGATTGTTTTATGTCTTAAGATTTAGACAATGAAAAGATATACTGATGGAAACGAATAAGGGAACATATGAAAATACAAGTGTTCCTTTATTTATTTCTAGAATTTCGACCACAGTGCAATACTTACCTAGTGAAGAAATAAGAATAAATGAACACTTGTACTTTCAGGTGTTCCCTTATTCGTTTCCATGAGTATATTAGAAACCATGAGTGCTGCTTTGATAATTAATTCATAACACCAAAAGGAAAACCAAAAGGAATGAGACTTTCGCCATTGTGATGAAGTCCATGAATATTGTGACACACATTAAAGCCATTATGAGGATGTATCCGACGAATACAGCTATAACGTATTTGAATGTTGTTAGATATGCAGTATGCTATTACACAGATTTCATTGCAGGCTCATGGGACCCTTCAGTATGTTTGGGGACTGGATAAACAGCGTTTCTCTGGCAAAGGGCTACAGAAGGTATCTGGGAAACTATGTCTACACTTGTTATACTCACATGTGATTCATGTTAAATCCCAAGAAAAATGTAATGATTTGCCACTAAATGATAAAGAACACATTTCTTTCATCTTAAACTGCTGCATTTTCGGACTAATATTGGTACCAATAATTTTTCCAGATTTACCGCAATCACTTATGAAAGGAAAACATGAGTGTACCTTTTGCTTTCATGCTTGTGTATCACGACCAAATATCTATATATGTTAGATTCATGTAACATTTATAAAACGTCAATGTGACTATAGAAAATATTGCGACAAAGCAATTAGAAGTTATTCCATGTAGTCCAAAAGTTAATGACATTCAGCATTATCGTTGAGTCAAAGACTCAGAGTGGATTCTAGTGATCAGTTGCAACAAACACATAGGTTCCTCCGGGAATTCGTTGAAACTGATGCTGGGACAATGTATCAATGATGATCAGGTGCTTACAGTGTGTATCACTGTTTAAAGAGAATGTTGATATTTAGTTTTGAAAGTATCGGTTTAAATATGTTTATGTATCGTTTACATTTTGCAATTGTATCATGTGTGTTGATGTTAGGAGAGTTATAAATGATTATTTTACATGCACAAAGATGGGAAATTAGAACTTTTTAATGTCTGAGAACAAAAAATGTGGATGTTTTCATGGACAATTATAAACTATGAAATATTAATGTTCAATATGTAACTAAATTTACGCAGTGATGCCGCGAAAATAGGTATCGTGATATGTATCGAATCGTGACATGGGTATCGTGATACGTATCGATTCATGAAACTGATGTATCGTGACACCCCTAATTCGGGGTTTCAGTTCCAATGCAGGAGGCCTGTGTTTCCAAGGTTTATGAGTACGAGGTAAATACACGTTATATTTGACGCTATAAATTGACGTTTTTGTAGCATAGGTAACAAAGGTTTTATCTCTGTCATTGATGACAGCATTTTACATATTTGTTAATGTAATTCAGTGAAGACATAGAAACGTTTCACTGTTAGGTACTGTTTGTTCATATCATTCAGTTAGGTACTTGCCACTTTTGTACAAGGTCAAGCCTATTTTGTAACATGTTTCATGTGGCAAAATGCTTCCTTTATGTCTTTTATGATACTTTGATTGAACGAAACTAGTGCAAACATACATCTTTGCAGAGATTTTAAACAGATTTTAAAGATTCGTTCGTACTGTAGGTGAACCTGTTTGTGTCAAGATTGACGGGAGACACTATCGGCTACAACATTCACGGCCTCTTCACCATCACCATGCCAACACTCCTTGGGGTAAGCCATAATGTCTATAACACAAACGTGAAAATAGCGAGGCACAGCTTGTTTATTGGTAGTGCCTTTACGTCAATGACATGACAGCTTTGCATACAAATATCAATAATATTTTGATAAATCATTTATTACATAATCTAGTATTATTATATTTATTATTAAACAGTAATGACCTATAAATAACCTTCGCTTCGCTTTGTAATACCAAGACAAAATGTACCTAAAATGTTACACATCACATATTTTCATATGAACATTTACATATATACAATTCAAAATGAAGAAGCACGTTCGATACACGTCATCCATCTTTCAGATCGCAGGAACGCTGGTCACCTACATAATTGTGGTTGTGCAGTTCAAGCCATCAGATTCGTCGTGTCAATGCAACTGGTTCAGGAATGTCACAGGGAGTGATATGTAATTTGGAACACTTTTTGTGTTACAAAGAGAAGGCATTTGTCCTTACTAGCTCTAGTGTGTCTAGTGTGTAGTCCGAGGCCCTTCATGGAGATGGGGAATACTCTGAAGCTGCATTAATATCGCCAATGCCATCATATATTCCATAACGCCTGACACTCCCAAAACTTGATTGTACAAATGTCATCAATTATCAGATCGCCGGAACGCTGGTCACATGCGTAATTGTGGTTGTTCAGTTTAAGCCATCAGATTCGTCGTGTCAATGCAACTGGTTCAGGAATGTCACAGGGAGTGATATGTAATTTGGAACACTTTTTGTGTTACAAAGAGAAGGCATTTGTCCTTACTAGCTCTAGTGTGTCTAGTGTGTAGTCCGAGGCCCTTCATGGAGATGGGGAATACTCTGAAGCTGCATTAATATCGCAAATGCCATCATATATTCCATAACGCCTGACACTCCCAAAACTTGATTGTACAAATGTCATCAATTATCAGATCGCCGGAACGCTGGTCACATGCGTAATTGTGGTTGTTCAGTTTAAGCCATCAGATTCGTCGTGTCAATACAACTGGTTCAGGAATGTCACGGGTAGTGATATGTAATTTGGAACACTATTTGTGTTACAAAGAGAAGGCTTTTATCATCAGTAACATTACTGTGTGATTCTAGGCCTTCCATGTGATGAGGGAAATACTGAGATGCCGCATCATCAAACCATCAGGTGATGACTGACACTCGACTCTGGAGGTGGGGAATACAGCACATGTCTTGTATTTGTGTTACAAAGAGAAGGATTTTATCATCACTAACATTAGTGTGAGATCTTATACCTCTCGTTGTGATGAAGGAGAATCATGAGCAGCTGCACCAACTCACCAGAGAGAAGAGGTGCAGGAACACTTTATCATTATTTGTGTGTTTTGGTATGTCCGCATCTGTATATTCAGGATATGTTTGATTAACGCTTTGAAATTGTATTACAGTAAATTGTGTGTTGAGTACTATTGTAAAGTTTAACGAATAAGTAGTGTTTGACCATTTATGTTTAAAACAAATTAAACACGAAAACGTATTATTACCTGAAAAAATATTTCAACTTAACAATGTAATATTATCTCATCTTTATCGAGGTTGATAATAAGACAATTTCATTAACCGTTTTAGTATATTTTATGCAAAAGACATGTTCTTTAAGTTTTGCTGAAACGTAAAAAAAAAAAAAAAAAAAAAAAAAATATTAATGTGGAAAGGATTTTGCCGCTTCCGCTTCACTGGTGTTTGCAAGACCAACAAGCAGATGCAATCCATTAAAGAGGGGTTATTATTTAAAGTTCATGGACCGTTCATTTTCCTCCCGACTCTCCTCAACTACTTAAGGCAATATGTTGTTTTGGAAGAAATGTATGACTTATATATTTATAGTTTTTTTGCTGTTGTATTGTATCGCATCTCTTAGTTTGGAAATAAGGTTATATCACTCACGATGTCTTATTTCTCTTTGACTGTTTTCATCCATATCTTCCAGCATTTCCTTAAATGTATTAAGTCCATAAGCAACATCTAGTTTGTCAGATTTGTCAGCTGCATAACACAATGGACTTTGCTCAGTGAGTATCGTTTGAATTCGGATAGTTGAACTGCAGCTCTGTAGCATCGTCCCCTAGTGACTGTAAATAGGGATCTCTCACGTAAGTATTTAGTGCCCTACATGTTTGTATCTGATTTTCTTCAGAGATCAGTTTGCTGCAACCTGACTGCATACAAACTGTTGTTTTAATCTTTTAACCTTCCCGTTTGAGTGTAAGTGCATTCTGGAAAACTTGTCACAGTTCTATCTACACTGTCTCTTTCGCGTTTTATCCTGTTGTCTGTTTCAGTTCTAATCTTCCCTAATTCAGTGTTTCAATTTCTCGCTTGTTGATTGATTCTTTTTTGGGTTGATAATCTTTTATAATTCCTTTTTAAGTGCATAAAGCTTTCGGTGTATTTCTGCACTGCATGTCGTCTTTAATGAAACTGTTGTACTATTAACCAACATCAGAAACAGTTTCTTGGAACATACAGGGTGGGTGACTTTAACTGGCACTATGAAGTTAAGGACGAAGGTACATGTTGGAATGACTAAACAATTCTCGAATAACAAAGTCCTTTTTTAGAAAATGAATCTTTCCCTCCACTCTGCGATTCAAATTATCACCTCACCCTACCAGATACCCATTAACTACTGGTTGAACAGAGGCACATTACGAACAAAGTTTTTTATCTGAGCTTACAGCACATGTGCTACTTGTGCTTGTCAGTGGGGCAAGAGTAAAGCCCTTGAAACTGTAATCAAACCAAAGCTTAACACCCCTGATTTGATATTGGTGCAATGTACACTGGATACGTAGCATTAAAAAATATCCTGTGACTATTTCGTAATAATATAATAAACAGATATCTGATACCTGTCAAGACATCTGGTGATGGCATCGTCAAATGAAAACGCCTAAAAGCTCAAATCTAATCTTACCCCTGACCCTGTTCATGATTTGGTGGAGGCAGCACTGTAGACGTGCATATACGTACACGAGTCCAAGGATCAAAGGAGGAGTGTGAATAGCTTTGTACAACTAAAGTAAAAGTCACAGCAGGAGATTAGCACTTTTATGAGACAACTTTTTAGATAATTACAAGTATTGTGCGTTTGTGGAATAAAACATTATACAATAATTCTGTCTTTCTTTCTACTAAACCGAAGTACAGAAGAAAGTACACACCTGGTGTTTGCGAACTATTTGAACAGAAAATCTCCCAAACAACACAAATATTTTGAAGCATGATTTCATAGTGACTTAGAAGTCACAAATATTATGTGTTGCCCCCAAACCCCATTTTCTTTTTTTAGTACCCATGTTGGAGTAAAAACCGGATCTTTCGGCTTGACGAGCAAAGGCTTTAACCACTAGGCTACTCTACAGAACCAGATGTGACTGTAAGACTATCCCAATCATCACACATAATCATTCCGGATATACACATTATCAAGTCAAACGTTTTTATTTAGAACCTTCTAATACTTGCCCGTAGTTAATTGGAGCTGATTAGCAATAGCAAGTCCATCAAGCTGACTTCCGTGTCTATCACTCAAACACCAGTCAGTGTTAAATACCCTGTTGTTCTCATTTTGTCCAATGAGTGCTTATTACTTATCAGTACAGATAATTTTCGCCTTGATGTATTCATAACTTCCATTTGACCATTGCTATTATCAATTAACTACTGGTTGCCTTTGTCAAGCACCCTGTCGGTGTTATAAACATGATTTGTTGTTTTCACACGTACATTCAGAAGACCTCTGCTTCCTCGTTTTCTACCATAATGAAACCAACCAATATGGCGCTTGCTCGCAAATATTCACTTTTAACTCCCGGATTAACTTCATAACTGAACACAACCTCAATATGCAGTACCGTCACGCCTTGGCTTAAAGTCCCAAAATAAACTTAATGAGAAACTATATCAATTATTGTCGTCGAACAACACAGTAACAAAAATATTTCTTGTTCCTAAAAAAGCTCACCAATTTGATTGTAGAAGCGTTATTGATGCGCAAATGATTTTTATTGCATAGTGCATCTGGCCCAGAGGCATGTACCAAAATATACATGATTTTTCTTGACTTGTATTGTGTACAACCAACATGTAAAATAACGCATTACCCAACAAAAGAGAGACGAAAACATCCCACCCCACTAAACAAGATATTGTTTTGCAAAGTCATCCATGTCATGATCGTTTGTCTCTTCAACCGGCGTTGCATAGAACCAACACGAAGACAAATGAACCAGTATCGATTAAAGGTAGTACGTAACCCTTTACACTTGTTGATAATGTTGGGGAGTGGTCATAAAAACATTTCTAGTTATAGTTTTGTATAAATTGCTCTCAAGTCGTTTAATCATTCAGGGGCCCCTAATGCATTTGATTTGAATGAAGTACATAAGATGACGGATACTGGCATTAACTTTCCATTACGGATGCCTGCATTAGAAAGTCGGAGTCAGTGTGAAGAGACAACACACACCAAGAAGAGTTTATTCTGCACCTACAGGACCGTTATTAGGAAACGCATTTACTGAATGTGGTTGGGATTCAGAGGGAAATCACTTCATACATTGTGCAGGAACAATGTCTTTTGTAGTGTACTGTTAGTGTGAACACAAACAAGGGGGCAACGGCTGACAGATTTCATTTTGCTCTGGAATATTATTTGTTCTCGTACATTTCATCAACTGTAATCGGTAAACGTTGAAGCAGTGCAACTGACAAATTGGAAATAGAACAGAACAAAAAGAAGTAATTGAAGCTCTGTTGTCACCAACTCAAGCTGGAGCCCATTCTTGATGTGGCAGTGATGGACTATTGTTAGAAGAGGTGTAAATCATTCTTAATCGCACCCAGCTTTTGTGATAACTGGGACGTCAATATCTGGAAGCAAGGTATTTTTACATATCAAATAAAATGTTAGAAGAGAAAAAGAACCATACTGGTGAGATACCAACCCAAAGTCAAGTCGAGCAGTCCATCGTTACAGTTTCACTCTTTAAACATTTGCATGTCATTTCCTGTCTCGGGGGAATCTATCGTAGTGCAAACCCTGGAGAGAAAATGACACGGTTGGACAGACTTAAGCTAGTGTATGTCATATGTTTTGAAATAATATTACTGACAAACGTTGTGTTCTTCATCATTGCGACGTACAACTATGCAATGGACTCGAAACCAGTAACCCGTCTTATGTCGTTCTGTTCAGTTTTTCTCACATGTTTGTACTTATCATTCGTCTACAGCATCTTTCTCTCTGAATCGTTCCAAATGTTGTATGTTCGTTGTTGCAAGTATGAAGAACGGTACGGATTCAGCGATGGATTCAAGAAGTGGGTGAAGAAGTTGAGAGTAATCGCTATTGTTGTTCCTCTTCTCGTCGCATTATCTTCACCACTAAAGTACTTCTTGGCGAGGGTCTATTCTGATGTAATGAACGATACCTTCCCTTCTAACACATTCACTGAACCTGGGAAATCAGTGGGATATAGTATCACGTTTTCAGGGTACACATTCAATGCGATGTACTGGCAAACCAATTTTTTTATTGTAAACTTTCTTTCGCTGCTTTTGTGGCAAGAACTGAACCGTGTTCAAACACAATTCAAGGAGCTTGTGAAAGATCACTGTGATAACACTGAATCCAGGTTCAACGCTTTGGTCATTCATTTTGACCATATCACTGAAGTGCTCAAGGATACCAGCAACTATGTACAACATTCTGTTTTCACTTCTGTATTCCTGACTTTGCCTGTGACATGTGCCATCATATATTCCATTCTATCGAAGCCAGTCAGTCAAGAAGAAGTGATGGTTTACAGTGTAGGGTGTGCATGGGCCCTTATGTGTGTTGGCTCCAGACTGCTCATTGATGCGCTTGTCAGTTCGAAGGTAAGGGTTTTATTCTTGTGTGTTTTAAGATATAGATAATAATAATTACTCATTGCATAGGTTGTTAATGTGATGGTGCGATCCCAGTGGCGACCTCGGGCGCTCGACCGACTCGACTTCGCAAACTATTCGACCTGTCTCGACCTTTGGGGGTATCTCGACCTCACAACGACCTCAAAACGACCTCAAAACGACCTCGAATGGACCTTTACGACCTTAGTTCGATTTAGTTCGACGTCAGTCGACCTATCTCGACTCAAGTCGGCCAAGTTGAGAAGACCTATACTCGACCAG